ACAGAGGGGTCTGTGAGAAGACGACCCTGGTGGGCTCAGATCAGGGGTCTGTGAGAAGACGACCCTGGTGGGCTCAGATCAGGGGTCTGTGAGAAGACGACCCTGGTGGGCTCAGATCAGGGGTCTGTGAGAAGAAGACCCTGGTGGGCTCAGATCAGGGGTCTGCATCAACAGAGACGTTTCTGCTGCTTTTCTCACTAATAAAATGTGTCCAGAGCTGCAAAACAAGCTACAGCTGTGATCATCAACTGGTGGTCTGTGGGCCTTTTCAAGGCCTTTTTGGGAACCTTCATGGTCAGTGGAGATGACATTATGAAACAAAGAAAAATATTATATAATTTATTATTACACACATGAAGACAAATAAAAAKACCAAATCCCTTTAAAGAAGAAAAATACTGTGTATATTTTATACTGAGTTTCATAAAAACGAGTACAACTGAATTCAGGCATTTTTTTCTAATTCTTATTTTTAAGTTGTCTTCAAATAATTTAAAGGTAATTCTGAAGGATTTGAGAGGATCATAGAAATAAATTGTATTATTTAAGTAAATAACAGGTTAGCATGAGCTAACATGTTTTACTTTTCGTGTTAGCATTGGTCACWTATTTGTACACAAACTGATTTCTGTTGTGTATAAAACAAATAAAAAAGATAATTTTGTTGTTTGGTCGCACACACAACGAGGCCTGGGTCAGAGGTCAGGGTCCAGTGAAACCAAACTGTTGTTCTGAAGCTGTTTGTTCTCAGTTTGTGGATCGTTATCGAGGCTTCATCAGGTTAATGTTACCAAACACCTGATGAATATTTACCTGTTTATGTCTGATCTGTCATCAGGTTTCACTTTTATAATATGATTAATCTCATTTAAAACCTGTCATTTATAATATTTCACTTTAAACATAAACTGAACTAAAACACTGAGAACTGAAGTCAGTTTTTCTTTTTTTACTTTCTGTTTTGGAGGATTTAACTCCTTATGTATAAATGTAGTTTTCTAACGTTTGTAAAAACGAAAGGAAGTGTATATTTATAAGTTTAAAGTTTCCTGCCTGCCTTGTGTTGAACTGTTTTAATCAAACTTTCTGCTCTGAAGAGAAATGTTGGACAAATGTCATTTTAATTTAAACTGTTAGTTTGTTGACTTGACTTTAATTTATTCACAAATAAGATATGTCAACTTTGTTTTTATTAAATATCACAAACTTACATCAAAATGTAAAAAGTAAAGTTGTTTTGCATTTAATAAAGAGAAAATTATCTAATAAAACATCAAAGGTTTAATCTGTTTATGGAGAAAAAAGTCTCGTTTATATGTTTAAAATGAAAGAGTTGCATAAATAACGACACAAACATCAGAAATTATTTAGTTTATTCATTTATTTAAAAACAGTAAATTCAGTTTACAGAAACTACAAATGAAAAATAAAATGAAAGAAGTTCATCGTTCCTTCAAACCAGTTCACATTTTTGTCTCTTTTAAACTGCAGTAACTTTGTCTCTTAACAAAAATTAAACCATCTAAAGAAAACAGAACATTTTAATAATTAAAATAATTTAACTTGGTTCTGCAGGCGGCAAATGTCTCGAATCTGCGCCTCCTGCTTCCGGTCTGCGGAACAGCCAATGACAGCGCAGCGTTTAAGCAGAGGACGCGRTGATTGGTTAAAGGAACTTGAAGGCGGGATCTCTGAACACCAGTCGCTGCAACGAACTCTTTTCAAGTTCAGTGACAGAAAGCGGAAGTTGGTCAAGGTTTTCTTTAAAAATAAAAGCACAAAGTTGAACAAGCGTTGAATTTTAGAGCGCTTGTTTCTGCAAAGACACGTGACCTCAAATTAAACTTTAATCTAATTACTAACCTGGAGCTTCAGTAAGTTAAACATTATGTTTAATCTGCGTTTAACGACTAATTTATATTTATTGAGAAAACCCTAACCGGATGTGGTTAATGCTAATAAATGCTACTTCCTGCTGGAAGCTGAACTTCCAAAGCGGCGGTCAGCAGAAATAATGTCAACATTTGACTGAATAAATCAGCTGCAGCTACAGAGGAGGTGTTCATCACTTTTAACCGTTGTCCGTGCAGCGGGGACCGTTTCAGGCTCGGCCTGTTAGCATGATGCTAACCGGTTAGCCCCGGGTTTCCGCMTCAGCTCGCCGGACGCTGTTCTCTTGTTTCGCGCATTTCGAGCGGTTTTTCCGTCCAGCCTGTAACAGTTGAAGCGGGTGGAGGACCACCTGGACCCGGCCTGAGCTGAAGCAGGTTAAAGCTGCCGGTAAACGGAGCTCTGCGCTTTGCTTTTAGCTCCGCGGCTCTTTGTTTTCACAAAGGAAGGAGCTGAAGTTTCCTGGTTTTCAACCCACATCCCGAACACTTCCCCCCGGCCTGATGGCTCCACACAAGGCCGGCTCTTCCGGAGGCCAGCAGGTGGGCTTTGGTTCTGGAGGAAAGAGCCCCGGGCTGGACCCGCAGCAGAGCCCTGCAGCTGCAGGCAGGAAGCCCAACATGCAGCTGCTCCAGGCCGACCACGAGCTGTTCCTGCAGGCCTTTGAGAGTGAGTTCAGCTTGTTGAGGTTCAGGAGGTGACAGCAGGACTGTCACCTGGTCACAGACCACCAGGTTTACTTTGGATCAAACTTTGATCACTGTGTTTCTGACAGKCTGCAGCAGCTCATCTGTACTTTTAAGGTTTATTGTTTAGAAAACATCAGAAAAACCAAAGAGAAATAAAACTGTTTGTTCAGCTGAGTAGAGACATTAAAGCAGGAAATACTGGATTATTTGACAATAAACTGTTTAGTTCTTGGTTTGATCTTCCTCAACAGTTTTCATTTCTGCTGATGATGAAAGTTTATTTCTTCCAGAACCGACTCAGATCTACAGATTCCTGCGCACCAGAAACCTGATCGCTGTGAGTAGCTCAGGATGTAGTCCTGAACAGACGTCTGACTCCAGCTCAGACCAAAGATTTCATGTCTTCTTGTTGCTTCCAGCCGATCTTCTTACACAGGACCCTGACCTACATGTCCCACAGGAACTCCAGGAGCAACAGCAGCAGGTAAAACTGTCCTGAAGGTCCACTTCCTGTTTACAGACCCAGGTTCTGTTTAACCTCGTCAGCGTGCAGCCAGGTGCCCAGGCTGCTTCTGAGAGCAGGACCACCGTAGACCTGGTTCCAGCAGGTCCAGTTAACAGAGTCAACCTGGTTCCAACAGGTCCAGTCGACAAAGTAGACCTGGTTCCAGCAGGTCCAGTCGACAGAGTCAACCTGGTTCCAACAGAGTAGACCTGGTTCCAACAGGTCCAGTCGACAGAGTCAACCTGGTTCCAACAGAGTCGACCTGGTTCCAACAGGTCCAGTTAACAGAGTCGACCTGGTTCCAACAGGTCCAGTCGACAGAGTCAACCTGGTTCCAACAGGTCCAGTCGACAGAGTCAACCTGGTTCCAACAGAGTCGACCTGGTTCCAACAGGTCCAGTCGACAGAGTAGACCTGGTTCCAACAGGTCCAGTCGACAGAGTCAACCTGGTTCCAACAGGTCCAGTCGACAGAGTAGACCTGGTTCCAACAGGTCCAGTCGACAGAGTCAACCTGGTTCCAACAGGTCCAGTCCATCTGAGGTGGAAACACTTTTCAGTTGAACTGATTTGCATAAAGACTGAAGCCTGAAACACGTGCTGCTGTAGCAGCTGCTGCTGCTGCTGTAGCAGCTGCTGCTGCAGGGAGGGGGCAGATTACACCTGGAGGCTGCTGCACTGATGTCAGACTTCACAGAGCTGGGTGTCAGCTGAACCAGCTCAGGGTCCAGACATCAGATTACATTTAAAACCAAGCTTGTTTAGAGTCCTGCAGGGATCTACAGGGTCCACAGAGTCCTGCAGGGGTCCACAGAGTCCTGCAGGGGTCCACAAAGTCCTGCAGGGGTCCACAGAGTCCTGCAGGGGTCCACAGAGTCCNGGTCCACAGAGTCCTGCAGGGGTCCACAGAGTCCTGCAGGGGTCCACAAAGTCCTGCAGGGGTCCACAGAGTCCTGCAGGGGTCCACAGAGTCCTACATGGGTCTACAGGGTCTACAGAGTCCTGCAGGGGTCCACAGGGTCCTGCAGGGGTCCACAGGGTCCTGCAGGGGTCCACAGGGTCCTTCAGGGGTCCACAGAGTCAAGATTCAAAGCGTTTGTTGTCATAAACACAGATGAAACATGTTTTCCTGAGCAATGAAATGCTTCCTCTGTAGACCACTCTGAATGCCAGGAGACCACCACACGACAAGAATAAGCATTAAAGGACACTAACAAGGTAATAAGGGATAAAAAAGACCACACTTGGAACAAAAAGGAGACCAAACTAGAGATAAWAMCATCAGAAGGGAACAAATACAATCAKTGTTTAAATGTGCAACAGGTAACAGTCTGAAATGTGCACATGTGCAGTAATAATGGTCAGAAAATTGTCCCATTCAGCTGTTTAAAGGTCTGATGGTACTTGGGGGAAGTCTCCCAGTKTGTAGATCCCGTTGGTCCTGCTGTCAGACCTGTTGGGACTTTAGATGTTTTAAGGCCCACTGCAGAAAGCAGCWGATCACTGGAGTCAGATGTGTTTTATTTGACACATGTGAACTCAGTGTTGGTTTGAGGCGACAGCTGAATGATCATTTYACAGGTTATTAATCAGGTGGTCTGACCTGAAGACCACTGGACCAGAATCAGGAACCAACAGTCTGATGAAAACAGCACCTGAACGCACCACGGCTCTGCAGGTCAGAGCAGCTGATGGATCAGCTGAGCCCTGCAGGCTCCGTTGGACGGTCTGAGTCCCGAGGACTCTGCTGGACCATGTGACCTGTGTGAGGACGTGTCTCTCATGTGGACTGTGAAGCTGCTAACTGCTGTCTTTGTTTACAGGAAGCTGTTTAAAGCAGATGATCTGTCTTTCAAAGTGAATAAAATGAGAGGAGACCAGGAGACCCTCAGGTCCAGAAACCTTTTTCTTCTTTCTTTAGTTTCTGGTTGAAACTCAGGATATTTTTAACAGAAAACCTCTTGTTTGTGTTGCAGCCTGTCTTCTAACCTGCAGCTCACCTTCACTGGCTTCTTCCATAAAGCTGGTAGGTTGGTCTGTCTTCATGAGAGGCCGGTGGTTTTTCACAATWAATGACAGGAAGTTGTTTTTGTGACGTGTTCAGGGAAACCATGTCAGGACAGTGAGAACGAGCAGAACTCTGTGTCTCTGGAGGTCCTGCTGGTCAAAGTCTGCCACAAGAAGAGGAAGGTGTGTTTGTGGAAGGTCAAATATCTGGTCCAGCTTTTCACATCTGACCCTAACCCTCCGGTCTCATCCAGGACGTCAGCTGTCCCGTGAAGCAGATCCCGACGGGGAAAAAGCAGGTTCCTCTGAACCCAGAGACGGGCTCCGGAGTCCAGGCCAAGCCGGGCTCCCTCCCCACCCTGCTGGTTCCCAGCATCGAGTTTGAACCCAGTAACTCTCACATGGTCAAGTCTTACTCTCTGCTCTTCAGAGTGTCCAGACCCGGGTACACCCGGAGCCAAATCAACGGCTTAACTAACGGAGAGAATCACCAGCTCCGAGGTGAGTTCACGCTGAGGCTACGTTCACTGTGAGGCTACGTTCACTGTGAGGCTACGTTCACTGTGAGGCTACGTTCACTGTGAGGCTACGTTCACTGTGAGGCTACGTTCACTGTGAGGCTACGTTTACTGTGAGGCTACGTTCACTGTGCGGCTACGTTCACTGTGAGGCTACGTTCACTGTGAGGCTACGTTCACTGTGCGGCTACGTTCACTGTGAGGCTACATTCACTGTGAGGCTACGTTCACTGTGCGGCTACGTTCACTGTGAGGCTACATTCACTGTGAGGCTATGTTCACTGTGTGAGGCTACGTTCACTGTGTGAGGCTACGTTCACTGTGTGAGGCTACGTTC